ATTCACTCATTAGTCCTTGATGCTCATGGATTTTCAGTGCTGTGAGCAGTTCCTTTAGTACACCACAAATTCTCTTGATTCGAACAAATTTTCTTGGGTCCTAGCGCTGAGAGGAAAAGAAAGAAGGCCATCGTTCGGTTTATTTTTTGCCTCCATGAACTTCAACACTGACACACAACGTTCACCGCTTCATGATTATTCCTTCTCTCCAGGATCTGTTTTTGCGCCGATAGCAACTGCTTCTTTTTTCCCGGATCTGTTTCTTGCATTGACGCACACTCTGCCTCGGTCTCCTGTTCAAGATCAATTAGTGCTCTCATGAAACAAAGGAATGGTGTCATTGTGCAGTTCTGCATTTTCATCGTCAAAATTCTTGTGATTGAAATGAAACAAGCCCGCAGAGAGGACTGAGTTCAATTCTAGCTTAAAAAAGGGATCGAATGCGGCCATTTAAGTAATTTTTCCTTTCACCGACTTCTTTCGCTGACTCGCAACTTTTTCAGGATTCTCCTGTACATCGCAACTGTATCCACCAATGGTCACGCTGCTGACCGGCTCGGTCATTTCTTCAGCATTAGTAAGTGATTTGTGAATGGTACAGTGGTCATCATTTTAACTTGTGCATTTGACTCTAGCAATATCCCGGTCTCGAAAAGCTGTAGAGTCTCACTCAAGATTGTGTAGTTATGAGAAGGACGACGGCCTGAAGTTTAACGTTGGCTGGAGAAAAAGAAAGACAGTAGGTGCGAATCATCTCCTCTTCGGTGAAATTCATGTACTGACACGTAAAGCACACTTTGGGTTCTCAACAAAGAGCCCTGTTGTTTCTTCCTTCCTGGATCTGTCTGTTGTATTGATCATCTTCCTTGCACTGTTCTCTTCTTCAGGATCAGTGAATGCTTTCATGATGCGAAGGACTGGTAGTGTTTCTGATCCAGCGCGTCGGCAGCACTGTTAGGAAGAAGCGCAAAAGCTACGAGAGTTGATTCAAATTCCGAGCTGTTAATCCCTCCAGTCCGGCTTCTGTTTAGTGACCTGGAACCCATATAACAGTTCCATCACTCTT